ACACTCACACTCACTCACTCACTCACTCACTCACTCACTCACTCACTCACTCACTCACTCACTCACTCACTCACGCACACACTCACGTACACACTCAAGCATAGGATAAAAATATTCACTAAACTTAATGATTGTTCATAAGCGTCTCATCACTGACGCTCTTCAGCTCATTAATGAATGACTCAGTTCTGTTTGCATGACTAGCCTTCATCCTCATTCCCAGGGTCCCCAGGCTCCGGTGGTTTCGGGGTCACAGCGCGGGTCGTCCGGGGGGAAGATGATGGGAACGGCCTGCTTCTGGTGCTGCTGCAGGCGTCTGAGCAGGAAGGACACCACCTCCGGCCGCTGATGGGACACCTCCACACGCTCCTCGGGATCCTTCTCGATGTCGAACAGCATCACCTGCTTCAGCGGCTCCGACGCCTCCAGCGGACGGCCAGCAGGGGGCGCGAACCACAGAGGACAACCTGAGAGAAACCATGAGCTCCTGTCACACCTCCACCACACAAAAACATCCGCTGATGTGCCAAAAAACTCATATTAGCTCAACAAAGAGTTCAACAAAATCAATAAAAACTTTCCATCATGTACAGATTCTTCCTCAGTATTTCTGTCTTGTTTTCCCGTGGAAATGTCTAAAAGATTCTTAAATCGAGATACATTTAATCGAGAAGCAAAATGACAGAAGATAAGAAATACTGTCTGATCTTATTTAAGAGTTTTAGTTTGTGGAAGAGTGAATTAAGTAATTTTAAGACCTTTTTTCAGCCCCACGGAAACCCTGCGGTTTATTTCACAAAATAAAAATGAAGATTTTTCAAATTATAGATACATGTATCATCTTTAATGCACTTAACAAAATAACAGTCAAACGTCAAAAGCTTTGATTTTAATGACAAACAGAAGTCTAGAAAAACAATGACGTCATTGTTTGGATGCAGTAAAACACCCACAGATGCAGCAGAAGACATCAGGCTCTGGTTTTTTTGCTGATTAAGGGAGAATGCAAGACTTCTTCTCTGTGCAAATGGTTGTCAAAAGCAAAAGTGCAATGAAATGCACACGTTTAGTGTGAAAGTGTGACGTGCTCAAGCAAAACAGACACTGTTTTTGGAATCAGCAGCTCAAAATTGAGCTCAGATAAGATAAGATGCAGTGTTGGGAAAATGAATGACCTTTGACACAGGGAAGTTAAAGATGACTGTTACCTGGGTAACCTGTGAGAAGCTTCCAGTTCTTGTAACGAATGGCGGCGTGAACCGAGATGTTAAACTCCAAGCGAGAGCCGAGAGTGGCGGGCCGAGGCGCTGACGAGCGCAAAGACTCCTCCAGAAACTCTCCTGACACCTCGTCTCCAGGACCTGAAGGAGACACAGAGGAAAGAACAGCTCAGGTGCGTCTCTGCTGTTAAACCAGATTCTGGTCTGGGTGTGAACCGGTCTCTGACTCACATGGAGCGGTGTCCACATACAGCGGGTCGATGTTGTGCAGAAGCTCGACTCGAGGAGACGCTTTGCCGCGACTGAAACACACAAACACACTTCCAGTCTGCAGTTACAGCTCATCTGATCATTAGGATCAAGTGCACTGTGGTGTGGCAGATGCTCACGGTGTGAATTAAACCCAGGGGAATCTATGATGATGATGATGGTGATGAAGAGCAGCTCACTCTCACCTGATAGCGTCCCACACGTCGAACCCGTCCAGAGGTTTGGTTCCGTTCGTCGACGCCCTGGCCAGACCCACAATCGTAGGCAGCCAATCAGAGACGTGGATGAGCTCTCGACTGACAGCTCCCGGCTGCTCTATGAGTGGGCCGCTCACAAAGGCCACGCCCCTGACTCCGCCCTCCCAGAGCGTCCACTTCCTGCCACGCAGAGGCCAGTTATTTCCTCCCGTCAGGGTCTGACCGCCGTTATCTGGCCGACAGAGAGGAAACAGCGCCACCTTATGACGGATCAGCACAATTGCCAAATTAAGACTTCTTAAGAGCAAGCAAAGAAAGGTTTGAAAGTACAACTTCCAGCAGATCTCCATTAGTTTTCGATTCATTTTACTAATTGGCTTGAATATCTCTGCTCCAAACTAGATTATGGAAGTCTTGTTTTCAAGTGAAAATGTCTAAAGATTCATAAATCAGCCATACATTTCCTTGAGAAGCAAAATGACATAAAATAAGTCGTTTTCTGAGAAACGTGAGTTTCTGATTTAAACAAGAACAAATATCTCAGAAAAATCAACTTAATTAAAGGGAAACACGTTTTCATTCCCCACTGACAGATATTTGTTCTTGTCCTAATCATAAACTCATTTTGTTTAATTTCTCATCAAACAAGCAGTGTTGCCAGGTTGGGTGGGTTTCTTCTTTTGATCGGCTTGGACTGGTGGGTTTTTATTTGCTTTTTTGTTTGGTCGAGTTATTTTAATACATGTTTGTAATTAGGAAAGTAGGCCTATCACAGAAACATACTGCATTTTTTCTTTAACATCATTGGTTCAGCTTAACCAATCAGGGCTGGGTGCGAGAGACCTGTCAATCACTTTGCCTTCTTGTGTTGCTGAGACATGAGTGACGGGTTTTCAGTGCAATAAGGGACCAAATTTGAACTTGTAACTGTATATTAAAGTGATTGCAATGCCAAAGTGGCATAAATATAAGTTGCATCTACAGTATGTGCATTTTCTTCGGCTGTAGCGGTGTGTGCATGAGCGTGTGCGTTCACACTAACAGTTACCTCGTTGCACTAATTACGCTGCTTAATTCTGATCTTTTGGGGTTTTTTGTCTACATATGCATTGGCTTGTTTTTGCTGTTGACACTGAAAATGATGCATTTGTTTTAAATGAGTTCGTACATTTTTTTGGCTGCCGTTTGCAAATATTTGACATGCTTTAGGTTTGGACATTTTTGTCATATTTGCTCATTCTCTTTTGTTTTGATGCATTTCCTCTTGCACTGTTCTCCTGGCCGGGAAACTGATTCAGTTTTATAGTTTTGTACTGTCATGATCATTAAAGGAGGTAAGATGGTTCTTATCAACACTGGTTGACATGGTGATAAAACTCTAACACATTATTTCGGCATTAAATGTTTTGGGTGGGCTTTTGTGCTGAAAACCGTTGACTCAATCTGGCAACCCTGAAAACAAGACTTCATATCTCGATTGTACTTCTCAAGTAAATGTATCTTGATTTAAGGATGTTTAGATATTTGTACTGGAAAACAAGATGAAAATACTGAGGAAGATATTAATTTTTTTTTGCAACATTTAATGCCAGGACTTCATGGAGTTAAGACTTTTGGCTCAGATTTACGACCATTTAAGGCCTTCATTCGTGGAAGAGACCTTTTTTTCCACAAAACTCATTCATTTTGACTGATTATGCACATTTATTCTCTGACATGATGTGGAATACATCATTGGATCCTCTATTGACCAGTCATATTTCAATACTGTCCAAATTATTAGCAGCCGCCATAAGAGCAATTAAAATATTGAATCTTATAAAATACACTGAGTCCTGATAATAAGGTCTCCCTGGAAGAAGAGATTGTGAAGTCTCAATGGGATTCTCCTGGCTAAATAAAAGATAAATAAAATAAAATAAAATAAAATATGAAGATTATTAGGTAGCATGTTTGCCACTTCAGTTCAACGTCAATTCAGATTGAGGAAAAAAAAAAAAAAACACGTGTCTCCAATAGTATCAGTACAATAGATCCAAGCATTCGGTCTTAAAGTGACAGAAGATTAATAAACCTGCTGCTGTTTGTGTCATTCATATTAATTGTAAATTATTATGTGTCATTGTGCCATTCCAGGTCTCCCTGGAAGAAGAGATTGTGAAGTCTCAATGGGATTCTCCTGGCTAAATAAAAGATAAATAAAATAAAATAAAATAAAATATGAAGATTATTAGGTAGCATGTTTGCCACTTCAGTTCAACGTCAATTCAGATTGAGGAAAGTCTTTAGCTGCGTCCCAAATGACGCACTCGTACACTATGTACTTATGCACTATGTACTCAACCATGTAGTGTATGAATTATATAAGTTTATTTTGTCATTCATAATCGGAGTCTGATAGCCCCTCCCCCTTCGGGACGTAGTTGAGTGCATGAAGTGTCCAGCATTCCACACTCATGCATCATCCGGGTATTTAAAGGTGCATTTTTTCTTTTTGGAATTTTCAGTGTGAATGCAGCACTCGCACTGTTTATACTACAAGACGTCATAGAATAGTGCATAAGCACGCGATTTGGGACGCACCTTTTCTTAATTTACTTCTAAATGACACACAGCCTCGCCTCAAAAGATCAGCCGAAGCCAGACTCGTCTCGTCTCGTGTCGTTCGTGATCTCAGTACCTGTTGAGAAAATGAGGACGGTGTTGTTCCAGAGCCCCGAGTCCTGCAGCGCTCGGCTGATGTTCCCCACGGCCTCATCCATGGCTGACACCATCCCTGCGTACTCGCGCCGCCGCTGGTCCTTGATGAAGCTGTAGGGGCTGACGTAGCGCTCGGGGACCTGCATGGGGCCGTGAACCGCCTGCAGCGCCACATACAGGAACAACGGCTGCAACACAAGAGAAACCCTCAAAAACCACTGCGGAGCATCCAGAGACAGGAGAAAACCTGCAGACCATTTGTAAATGTAATGTCTGGCTTCCGGTGTCATCCGCTCGTTTTGTTGCTTGATATTGCAAACTGGTGTGTCTCACCTTATTATTTTAATGTGTTGTCTTAATTATAAACACACTGGGTTGTAGCACAAACAATTGTACAGTTTATTGCACTTTGTTATTCTTCTAGTTATTCCCCTACAGCGGCGAATGAAGCGGACGCCTTGCACATCGACAGAAAACAGCTTGCTTCTGCACTGAAATATAACGAGGATAGTTTTATAAATGGCAGGTCAAGAGTTTTACTAGCTATCGCCGTCTGACGGCTTGAGTTTAGATTATCTTTTTTTATTCGTATTTAATTTCACTTAAAGTTTTAGTCATTTAGTTGTGTGCTTTTGTCATTTTTACTATTATTTTTTAACGTCTGTATAGTTTTTGTTGAGTTTTAGTTATTTTAGCACATCGAATTAAACTAAATGAAACATTTCGCCTTGGCAACTAACTAAAATCAGTTTAAAGTTAATGCTTATTTTACTTCAAGTAATGAGTTTTAGTTAACAATAATAACCCTGGTTAAAAGCATGCAGCTTAGTAAAACATGTGCAGCACTGTGACTTAGTGTTAAAAGTGTTTAAATCGTAATAGCTCACGGGGTCTGTAACAGTGTTGCCAATTTAGCTACTTTGTAGCTAGATTAAGCGACTTCCCTGCCCCTTTTGAGACGTTTTTCAAAAGTTTAGGGACAAAAATGTGACCCTGGAGCACAAAACAGTCTCAAGTCCAACAATACATTGTATGGGTCACAATTATAGATTTCTCTTTTATGCCAAAAATCATTAGGATATTAAGTAAAGATCATGTTCCATGAAGATATTTTGTAAATTTCCTACCGTAAATATATCAAAACTTAATTTTTGATTAGTAATATGCATTGCTAAGAACTTAATTTGAACAACTTTAAAGATGATTTTCTCAATATTTAGATTTTTTTGCACCCTCAGATTCCAGATTTTCAAATAGTTGTATCTCAGCCAAATATTGTCCTATGTGCTCCAGGGTCACATATAGCAACTTCTTGGACAAACCTTATGTAAGTTCTCATCTTGCCCATTGATCTACATTCATCTTTATATAGATCAGTGAATTTGCCATTATGATGTAATCGAGTGACATTTAGCTACCAGTTTTAGTTTACCAGTTGGCAACACTGGTCTGTAAATATTCAAATAAACGATAATAGGATTATCTGGCTATGAACAGGCCCTGAGGTGAGTCATGTGACGTGTGTGTGTGTGTGTGTGTACTTTCTCAGGTGTGTGTCGTGTGATGATGTCCGTGGCTCTCTGGGTGAAGAGTTCAGTGGAGTAGAGTCCCGTGTAATTCACAGCCACGTCCTCGCCGTCACGCAGGTCCAGAGCGCAGCGCGTCACGTTCAGAGGAGCGATGAAACTGCACCTGGTATGATTGAAGTAGTCCTCTGAACCCGTCAGGTAGCCTGCAGACACACACAACGACACGCGTGTTACATGATCCAGCTTGTGACAGATATAACCCGTCTGTTCCTGGTTCCTGCTGCTGTCAGGCGTCTGCTCTGATTCACTCGTGACTCACCGAAGAAGCTGTTGAATCCTCGGCGCGTGGGCAGACAGGCCTTCCTGAACATGCCCAGGTGCCACTTGCCCACCATGTGTGTGTGGTATCCGGCGTCCCGCAGGAGCTCGGGCAGCAGCGTCTCGTCCAGAGGAACGCAGTACGGCTGACACGGCCAGATGATCTGGTGCTGCAGACCCGTGTGAATCTGACACACACACACACACACACACACACACACACACACGCACATCACACGCTCCTGACATCATGAATGTACCACGGTATTCCAACAGGAGGTGTTTCCAACAATACCATGGTAAAACTGGACAGGTTTTGGACACACGTCAACACAGGCTCATGCATATTAATAGGAAATTCATGAAAAATTAAATGCATTAGTAAAAACAACATTCTATGCCATTTTTAACACCACAGATCAAATTCAGGAAACTAATTAGATGTTACATTCTCAATAGGGTTCAATTCAATTGCAGTCACTGTACTGTGGTACTGCCACAGTACTTACTTAAAAAAATACATGGTAGTGCTATGGTATAATTAGACAAATACTGAACGTGTTTTACTGTACAAATGTAATAAATACTTGAATTGTTAAATATGAATATGACCAATATGTGTTGTACAGTACCACGGTAAATACACACATGCACGTTTCTAGGTATTTCACTGAAAATGCACTAATAAAACTATTTAGAGCCGTCATATGACCTTTATTCCATTTGAATTCGACTTCCTGAAACTCAAACCTCATGTCTGAAACTACAGATCAAATTCAGGAACTGAATTCAGTTGACATTTCAACTCTATTATCAGTGTACTACCGCAGTACTTACTGTAGTCTACTTTAGAGAATACCATGGTATTACCATGGCACAAGTCCTAAAGCACAGGGCAGTACTACAGTACAATTGTTTACTGGTGTTTTCCAGTGTTGCCAGGTGCGCGGTTTTCCCGCGGAATCGGGCTACTGTTACACTCACTGTTACACTGTTGCCGCGGCTTGTTTTTCATGTCCGCGGGTTAAAGCGACCACAATAACCCCTAGAATGCGAATTTTCTTCCAGGTGACCCCCGCCAAAAAACGTGATCTTACCCCACGGAACGCGATTTTTACCCGTGGACGCGATTTTTTTTGATGTGAAAACCTGGCAATCCTCGTGTATTCTCTGACCTGGTAGCGGCCGGTCATCAGCTGGTTCCGGGACGGAGTGCACAGCGGCTGCACGTAGTAATTCTCCAGCCGAACCCCGCGCTCGGACAGGCGGTCCAGATGAGGAGTCCGGATCTCAGAGCCGTGGTAGCCCACATCATTCCAGCCGAAATCATCCGCCAAAATCAACACGATATTCGGCGGTTTGGCCGCGACACGGGCGACAGAAACGAGCAGAAAACACAGCGCGAGTTTCCTCACAGTCATTCTGAGTCATCTGAACCGACTCCTGTCACACACTGAACTAAAGCAGAAGTCAGAACTGTGATAAACTACTCTGCAGAATCATGACACCGGAGTCTCAGCTCATGAATATTACTTCCGTTACGCTGACGTTCCTTCAATGGCGAAGGCCTGGTTATGAATATTAATTAGACATGTGACGTCCGTCGTAAGTCTTCGGTCATGTAACGTAATTAATATTCATGAACGAAGTTTTCCGTCTTCTTAACCCTCCTGTTATGTGCAATTTTTAAATATATCTATAAATTACTCAAATTGACAATATCATTTATTTTTTGTTTATTACACTTTACCTACCTGAAAATACATTTTAAGGACAAATCATAACTTTTTGTTTTTTATATATTTATTTAATTGCTTCATTTACATAGAAAAAAAAAAACATTGTCCTCAGTTTCTGAGATTAGTTTCTCTAAATCAGTCACATCATGCAAACATTGCACCTCACTCACAGTCCATCTTGTGGTCATTTTTCTTTAGACAGAATGACAGTCAAATGTCCACACAAGGACAGAAAACCTGAAATGTTTGACATTGTGGGGACATTTAGTTGCCCCCCCCCCCCC